TTCTAATCTGAGTCCTTTGAGGGTAAGGGCTAATTGGAGGGTCGGGGGACTTAGTACATGGTTATTTTATAGACTTATAGGTACTATAACCCCAATTAGGGTCCCTTTTAGGGTACTTATAAGTCTACTAATTGCCTACTTACTAAGTCTCCCGACCCTCCAAGTAGGGCTTTAAAAGGTGTGGCCGTGCGTGTTTAGGGGTCCTAGCCTTGCCAAGGGTTTAGGGTTTAGGGTTTAGGGGTTTAGGGTTTAGGGTTTAGGGGTTAGGGGTTAGGGGTTTAGGGTTTAGGGTTTAGGGTGGTAGGTTCAGAGGCTAGGGCTTCGGATTTAGAACTCAGGGTGTAGATGTATTTCGGGTTTGTAGCGGGCTCAGGGTTTGCAAGGTTCAGTTTAATTTAGGGTTTAGGGGGGCCCGATCACCCTAAACCCTAAACCCTAAACCCTAAACCCTAGGGGGACCCGATCACTAGGGTTTGGGGGTTGAAGTCCTCGGCTTGTTAGGTCAGCGCCAACCTTGGCAATGAACCATCACAAATCTCTAGACGGTCATAATATGCCTGAAGTCTAACCGCACACGAATGGCAGTGAGTTTCATAGTACGGTGAGAAAAGCTAGGGAGGAGAAGACGGGACACAGATCGTTACACTTTAGAGTCGCATCCCACCACGGCCCTTGCCGGTTGTCCAAAAATTGCAAACAGCAGCTACTCCTGCGGGCTATGTCTGCTGGCTACGGTTCCTCAGTGCATGATTCCATGTACATAAGACATAAGTCCATTCCGATAGATGATAAGCACGCATGCTCTAGTAGGACGATGCCAGAGTCTGAGAAACGGCACTCTACCCCGAGGTTTGTGATGAAGCGGCCAGGCCTCCGGCAGGGAATGCAACGAGTCTTTGGGAACGAGCTTTCGGCTTGTAAGTCGGCTTAAGAGTTCAAGTTTCAGGGAGTTCAAGGGTTTCGGGGTTGTGATATCAGGGTTGATGCAGTTAGAGGTTCAGAGGTTCAGGGTTTGGGGTTTATAGAGGACGGCAGTCCAGGGCTTGGCATCTCTGAGCCGCAGCCTTGGCCTTTGGGGTACGTGATTTTGGTGCGTCTTACAACGGCACCGCTACTGCCTGGTCCTTGAGGCTCATATGCAGTAAAACCCACCAGACGTCTTCAAGCTCCGATAGTAGCCATAAACCCGATTCCGCAGGATCGCTCAGAAAACCGTTCAAATCCTTTCACGCCACTTACGCTCTTCAGCAGCAGCCAAAGTCTGCGCACCGGCCGAGACCATAGACCCCGAATCGCAAACAGCCAAACACTCAACCCTATAAGCCCGAAGAAGTCTAAACTCAGAAATCACTTGACCCGAAGCCTCCTGACAAACCCTAGTTTCTGCAAACTTTCGAAGCCACCCTAAAACCCTAAAACCCCTCGTTCTGAACCCTCAACCCTTCACCCCCTCAACCCTAAACCCTAAATCCCTAAACCCTAAACCCTCCACCCATCAGCCACCAGCCACAACGAACGGAGGCCGCAGCTTGGCGCTGGCTGCGGCTGGCAGGTGGGCCCTTGGGGAGCCTGCGGCGCCGACTGCGCACCCCGTGGACGCGAGGTGAGGTTTTTTGAAGTTTGTTGGTGGTTGCCCCAAAGTCGGAGTTTTTAGGAGCATGTTTCGATTCAGGTATTGGGGTTTAGAGTTCAGAAAGTGTTTGGGGATGGGTCTGGAGCCCAGGATTGCGAAGACCTGCGGTTTAGGTTGCCTCAGGGACTGTGCTGTAGCGTCTGGCATTGAGCTAGTGCTTCAGACTCATGCATGCGTGCAGTGACGACAGCTCGCCGACAGATTGATGGGAACGACGACTGTTCTGGCCATGGTATGTTTGGTGAAAACGCTGACGACGATTATACTGGTGTTCAACATTTATCATCAGCCTTGTCCTTGTGTTTACCGTGAACACTTTCATGACCCTCAATCGCGTTACAGGTTTTTCCATCCATGTGTACTTGCTCAGTCAATAGCTACTTTATCCATTCATCGGCCCTGGTTAACTGTTGCATTAGCCCTAAACCCTACCCTCAACCACTGATTACCCCCAGCAAAAACCCCTTGAGCCCCAAACCCCGAAACCCTAAACCCTAAAGCCCTCAATTCCCCCAAACCCGAACCCCAGAAGCAAAATCCCTAACCAAGGATAATACTGTTGCTGATATAAATCCTACATTACCGTAAGGATCCTAAACTATGGGAATTATAGTATATTTCTTATTATGCGTATAATGCAGGATNNTAGATCATCAGCCGTATGACAGGTCACCTGCGGCGGCAATGGCTCCGCACTGGGCGTCTGCTTCGGTCGAAAGCCTGCCGAAGCTGAAGCTTGCCAGGCCAGGCTTGGGATTCGGGTAGGTCTTGCGGGTTTCAGGGTTAGGATTTAGGGGTTTTGGTGGTTTGGGGTTTTGGTGGTTTGGGGT